TCTGTGCCCCTAAGGCAATGGTGCTTAGTCTGTGTGGGCTAGGCTTGGCCCCAGGTCACAGAACAGACATACCATCTCCAGCAGTACCCACCACCATCCTTAGTCACTTACCTTGGTTCATTCGGTAAATATTTGTTTGAGGATACCCTGTGTGTCTAGGTGCCAGGAGCCCGTCTCGGGAGCTTCCATTCTCCTGAGGATACAAAAGATATCCATGAATGAACAGGTAGAGTCACACACAAGAGGTGTGATCAGTGGTGTCGGTGGTGACAATTGCTGCAGGAGACGTTTTGCACTCACTACATACCAGGCGCAGCCCTGTTTCACGTGTATGAATTCATCTTGTCGCACAACTATCCTATGAGGTATCCCCATTTTACCAAGAAGAAAATGGGACACAGGTTATGGGATGGCAGGGGCTAGACAGGCAGGCACTGACTGCCAGGTGCCATGATACAGGGTGTTGGAGGCCCTTCCGCATCGCTGAGGCGTGTGCATCTGATCTGAAATCTAAGGGATGTGGAGATGGGAAGATAGGCTGAGGTCTCGTGGCAGGAACTGGCTGGCTGGAGCAGCGGGGAGCGGGCAGGAGTCAGCACACGTGGCCTCATGGACCATGAAACAGGAGCCAATGCAGGGATTTCAGCTGGGGAGTGCCCTGTCCAGATTGTCCTGGAAAAGACCTCTCTGTGAAAACAACCCAAGTGTTCATCTTTGGATGAACAGATAAACAAAATGTGGTCCATCCACATAGTGGAGCATTATTCAGCCATAAAAAGGAGTGAAGCACTGACACACGCTACAACATGGATGAACCCTGAAACCATCAGGATGAGTAAGAGAAGCCAGACCCGAAAGGTCACATGTGTGATTCCCTGTATATAAAATATCCAGAATAGGTAATTTCATAGAGACAGAAAGCAGGTTGGCAGTTGCCAGGGGCTGGGGGAGAGTGGAGAAGGAATTTTTTTCCCCAAACAGGCATAGTTTCTGTTTGGGGTGATAAAAAAGTTTTGGAAGTAGATCATGGTGGTGGTGGCACAGCATTGAGAATATAATTAATGCCACTGAATTGTGTGGTTAAAATGACAAATTTTATGTTGTGTGTGTGTGTGTGTGTGTGTACATATATATGTGTGTACATATATATATGAGATGTGACAATTAAGTTTGTGAATTTGTTGCAAAGATGTTGCTAACCTTTTTTGATATCAGAGGGGTTATTTATTATGAATTTGTACCAAATAGTTAACCGAGTTTACTATTTGGAGCTGAAAAGGCTGCGTGGAAAAGTTAGACAACCTGAACTTTTCAACAACAATTCATGGCTCTTGCATCACGACAATGCACCAGCTCACACGGCACTGTCTGTGAGGGAGGCTTTAGCCAGTAAACAAATAACTGTATTGGGACACCCTCCCTACTCCTCTGACCTGGTCTTTCTTTACCTGAAGATAAAGAAAATATTGAAAGACACTGTGATGGCATTCGGGACATCAAGGGTAATATGATGACAGCTCTGATGGCCAGTCCAGAAAAAGAGTTCCAAAGTTGCTTTGAAGGGTGGACTAGGAGCTGGCATTGGTGCATAGCTTCCTAAGGGGAGTACTTGGAAGGTGACCATAGTGATATTCAGCAGTGAGGTATGTAGCACTTTTTCTAGGATGAGTTCATGAACTTAATTGTCAGACCGCGTACATATATGTGTGTGTGTGTGGGGGGGTGTACATATATACATATATATCATAATTTTTAAAAAAATGTCTTGGCTCCTGTGGGAGTCTGGAGTGTGGGAGTAAGAGGGGCTGGAGGGAAGTTGGGAAGAAGTCAGGGCCATCTGGGGTAGATGGTGATCCCAGGCCTGGAGGGTGGCTGCCGGGGATGGATGGACACGGGAATGTTCTGGAGGCACAGACCCAAACTTGCTCCTGATCTGGATGTAGAGGGTAAGGGACAGAGAAGCCAAGGATTTTGACTCCTGAGGTTTTGGCCTGAGGACCTGAGAGGATGGTGGGACCATGGACTGATGGGGGCTTTGTTTTGGTCTGGTCAGGCTGAAAGTGGTTTGGAGACCTGAATGGAGGTATAGACAGTGAGAAGGGAAACAGGGCTGGAGCTCGAATGTGGCAGTCATCATGGTACAGATGGTGTCTAAAGACGCTAGTTGGGATCCCCAAGAGGGGGCTATGGATAGGGAAGAGGCCCGGGGACTGCACTTGGGGTCCCAGTGTACTGGGGTGCAGCCTGGGAGGAGGGAGAGGAGCCACCCCTACCCTCAGGTGCTCCCTGTGCCCTGACTCATGCCGAGCTGTGGACAGCACCCTCTGATGGGTCCTGGCTGGCCTATCATGTATGTAGAATGTTGTCCTTACCAGAACCCTGCACATTTGAGCTACTGAAGGAGCTTGGGTGGGGGAGGGGAAAGGACGGGCTCAAGGTTACACAGTGTGTAAATGACAGGCCCCCAGAGCCTGGCATCCCAGCCTCCCCAGCATTAACCAACCACTAACCAGTTTGACTACCTTGGGGAGAGCCAGGGAAAGGAGTGTCCATCAGCCTGGGGTCAATACCTCCCCTGAGCCTGACCCTGACTGGGAGATGGGGTGGGGGAAGAAATGAGGTGATGAGGAATGCCCCTCCCCCAGTGTAAAATTGTAAAACGCTGTGAAATGAGCCTAAGGTGCCACAGGCCATGTCTGGTTAGGGTTGTGGGAGGAGACACAGTTTTAGGCAGTCCAGGGGCGATTTCCTGCTGACTGGAGCTGGGGAGGGGGCAGAGAACTGTTGCAGGGACGGGCTGAAGGGCTGCACTGTGAACTTACTGTCCCATTTCACATGAGAGGAGACTGAGGCCTGCAGGGGGATGGGTGTCTTGCCCCATGAGCTTGCCACGCCAATCTTTATTTCTTGAGAACCTGTGCTGAGTCCCTGCCCTCAGTGATCTCATGGTCTAGTGGGGAAAGGTGACAACATACCTGCTAATGTAAATAGGTAACTTTAGGTGCAGTTGAAGGCAATGAATTAAAAATGGCAAAAGGATAGCGAGTGAAGGTGGCGGGAGTGTTTGGGGTGGTTGGGGTTGCTCACTCTGCTGGGGTGACCTTGGAGTTGAGCCTTGAACAGTGAGAAGCTGCAGCATGTATACGGGATCCTGGGACAGTGTTCCAGGTGGAAGGAACAGCCCAGGCAAAGGGGAGGGGAGCGGAAGGAGGCTGATATGTTCTAGGAACTGGAGGGTTAGAGAATTTGGTGGCCCCAGATCTCCAGTGGCCTCTAGGCCCTGGTGAGGAACAGAGACTCCAGTGGAGAGCAGAGGGATTTATGTCACTAAATGATCCCTTAGCACTGAGTGGAGGGCAGGCTTGGAAGCAGGGAGGCTGGGAGAATGAGGCCAGGACAGTGTCCAGGTGTAGCAGGATAGTGGCTTATTCCTGGGCAGTTGCATTGGGGACCAGAAGTGGGCAGACTGGTGAGGTCCTTTGGAAGCAGAGTCCATAGGACTTCCTGACTAAACTCATGAAGGGGAGAGGAGAAGCGAGGAATCAAGGCCCATTCCTATGTTTGGGGTCTGAGATTTGTTCAAAAAATATTCACTGCTGTGTGCCAGGCCTGTTCTAGAAACTGGGCATGGGTTGTGAGTAAAAAACCCCAATGACCCCTGGCCTGTACAGGGGCCGTTCCATACATGAGATAGTTGCATTTGAATAAAGGCCTAAAGGAGGCAATGGAGCAGAGGGAGCAGCCATGTGGACAACCGGTGGGCAGAAGAGACATGTAGAGGAAACGACAAGTGCAAAGGCCCTGGGGCAGGGCCTGGTGTGGTGGAGGAATAGCAGGAGGCAGGGGTGACCAGAGCAGAGATGGGGGTCAGGGAGCTAACTGGGTCGGTCAGTAGGCTTTCTTTTTTGGGGGAAAAACAGTAGCCAGGACTCTGTTGAGAGATTCCAGACTGGAAATAAGAGATTTCGAAAGTATTGGGTGGTCATTGGTGTTAAGACTGTGGGACAGGCTAGGGTGACAGTGGGAGACGACAGAGCAGAAGTTTGTACACTGGAGGGCTGGTTAAACCATGAGTGCTGGCCTTCCCCAGAGAATGTGTGTTTCTAGCAAGTTACTGGCCAGGCTGGTGCTGCTGGACCAGGGCCACACATGGAGAACCTGGTGTAGATACAGCAAAGGGCCAAGTGGAGATCTGGGCATGCAACCTCAACAGCACCCAGAGGAAACCAAGGCAGCAAAAACTGGGAAGGAGCTGTAAGGGAAGAAAAGAACTCTGCGGGGAGGGCAGGCAGGGGTGGGGACTACTGCAGGGGAGGGCACACAACACTCACCCCCCACCCTTCATCTCCAGCTTACCCTGAGGGTTCCCTAGAAAGGAAAGAGGGGACTCAGTTGTCCCTGATCCCTGATCTGTGGCGCGCCAGCCAGCTGGATTCTAATTAGCTACCTGAGCCATAGAGACAGGAAGCAGGGGTCTCGGGGTGGGGCCTGGATTCCTGCCTTTGATCGGGAGGGGGTAGCTGCAAGCCTGGCCAGGATGCCTGGGTCCTGCATCCTGGACGCCACTGTGCTGGGTGAGGAAGCTAGGCAGGAGGGCGAATGGACAGAGTTGGGATTTCGGGATGGGGAAGAGGCTTCCACAGGGTCCCTTTCCCCAGGATGGAGGGTCTGAGGGCTGCCTGGTGACATCCTGATGAATTGCCCCTGCCACCTGAGGGGGGCTGTCATACCACAGGAGATGCTTCCAGGAGGTTTCAAGGTGGGTGAGTCTGCTGGGTTGGGGGTTGGAGTGCAGTGTGAGCCAGAGGCCCTGGTAGGGGGGCAGCCTCTGGCTGGAGGGTTTGGCTTCTGTCAGCGGAGATTCTGGACCTGGACTGGCCACTCTCTGGGCTGCGGGACAGATGTCCTTGCCACCAGCAGGAGGGAGTGGCCCAAATGCCCCTCCTCCTGGGCTCACAGGGAGACTGCCCCGCCTCACTCTCCTTGTCCCCCTTCCTTAGGCTGGTGGGCCAGGCCGTGGTGCCTACCTGGAGATGTGGGGTGAAGCCCACTGCACAAGCCACTGAGAGCCCTGAACACACCCCCAGCTGCCGCTATGGCCCGCCTGGCTGCAGTGCTGTGGAGTCTCTGCATCACCGCCGTCCTGGTCACCTCGGCCACCCAAGGTAGGTGTTGCTGGGGCTGCAGAGGGGCCATGTCTCCAAAGCACGGCCTGGAGGGTGGGTAGAACATTGAAATGCCTCTTAACCACTTGTTAAAGAACCACGGCTCCCACCCCGCCCCACACTGACGAGGAAAGAGGTCAGAGAAAGGCTTGGTAGTTACACCCCCCAGCACTGCTAAGGGGTCCCCAGTCCCTCACCCCAATAGCCACGGTTCCCAGAGCCTGGGACGCAGGCAGCGGCCCCCTGGGACCTGCACAGGCCTTCCTGGTGAGCTGAGGCTCGTGTGTGTGTGTGTGTGTGTGTGTGTGTGTGTGTGTG